TGTACTTCATCAATCTGCCTGTTCTGCTCCCCACTCTATCTCTAGGGAATCCTCTCACCCTCCGCATCTCTGGCCTGTACCCCAGTTCTGTATGAATAAATAAATAAATCTAAAAAAAAAAAGAGAGAGAATATGGCTAATATGAGAAAAAATTATAAATCTAACTTTGCAGACCTCCAAGAGGACTATGGGTTAAGTCTCAGCACTATCACCTCTACCTCCATAGTTCAATCCCCAGCCAAGAAGTTAACCCACCTATGGTGCAGCAGACCTCTCCTGTCTCACCTGCTACTCCCCTCAGTAGTGTAGTTCAGTAGATCTGCCTGCTCTGTTCCTCACTCTGTCTCTGGTCAGTCCTCTCACCCCCCAGCCCATGCACCTCTGGTTTACACGCTAGTTCTTCCACGCAAAAATAAATAAAATTTTTTAAAATAATAAATCTAACTTCTCTTCTAAATCCTAAAATAGTTTCTCAATGGCATGAAAGCATCCCTAGAATTCAGCACTCACTTCTAGTATGATTAATAGTGGACACTTTGCCAGATTCCCAATGTCCATTCATACAAGGCTCCAATACAAGGAAAAAGAACCCCTAAGTAAGGACAACTTTCATTACCCCATAGTCAGCACAGCCTGTATGTGGAATACTCAATGCAGTTATCTCTCAGAGTTCTTTGAATATTAAATGAAATCAATGCATGCCTCATTATACTCAATAAAAGTCTTGTAGTTAAAAAAAAAAATCATCTAGGCCCTCCCTGGTGGTACAATGGTTAGGACACAGCACCCCATCCACTTCAGTGTGAGTTTGATCCCCGGCCAGGAGATGACCCACTTGGCGTGGCAGACCTCTCCTGACCTGCCCACTGCTCCCCTCAGCAGTGTACTTCATCGATCTGCCTATTCTGCTCCCCACTCTGTCTCTGGTGAATCATCTCACCGCCCCTGAGCCTCTGGCCTGTACCCCAGTTCTGTATGCACAAATAAATAAATCTTAAAAAAAAATCACCTGGGCCCTCCCTGGTGGCGCAGTGGGTTAAAGCACAGCACTGAGAATCTAAAGCCGCTTCCGCATGAGTTCGATTCCCGCCTGCCCCGGAGGAGACCACATGGTGTGGCAGACCTCTCCTGACCCGCCCGCTGCTCCCCTCAGCAGTGTACTTAGTTGATCTGCCTGTTCTGTTCCCCACTGTCTCTGGTGAAGCCTCTCACCGCCCCTGAGCCTCTGGCCTGTACCCCAGTTCTGTATGCACAAATAAATAAATCTAAAAAAAAAAAAAAAAAATCACCTAATGCTGAGAAAGTTTCTGAAAATAATAAAACTAGCTGAAGTTGCTAAAGATAAGCTAAATCCACAGTGTGAATAACATCTAATTGGAATAAAGTATTTCAAAGGTTCCTCTCAAGCTGAAACTTTAACATATTGGGTATTAATTTAACTTTGAAAGATACTGAGAAATGAAAATATACTTCCTGGTCAAGATTAATTATAAGAAAGATGGCAATTCTTGAATAGATAAAATGGAGATATAATGCCTTTGATCTCAATGGAGAGCTCTGAGCAGGTGATACAGATTTGGAAATCATCCACAGATAGAGAGTAAGTGCTTAAAATTCTAGCTGGTATAGAGTGACTGAAGGCAAAGTCTATTCTATTTATTGCAAAGAGATGAATTTCACTATTTGTTGTGACTTTGTAGTTTTCTTTGGGATTTAAAGTGAAATCCAGCTCTCATTACTTAATGGCTATAGCTAGATTCCTCATAGACACCTCAACTATCTTTGCATCCTTCAGAACTCTCTATCTTGACTAATAGCACCAGCATCCCCACAATCTCCCGATTCAGAAGCCCTGGAGTTATCCCAAATTTCTCCTATCTCTAACTGCACACACCACCATTAGCATCCCCCAATGAATTTCCACCACCTATATGCCCTACAAGCTTACAAAGAGCATTCAAAATTCTAAATACAAAATACTAATGCCTTCATGATCCTGCCCATAAGTGCCCCTTCATCTATATCCCACCTCTTCACTTTTGTAAATTCTGTTCCTATAATACTTAATTCAAAGGCACTGGGTTTGGTATTTTGCATACATTAAGTCATTTACATAAACTCACAACAATGCTGACAGTTAAATATAATTTTACCTCACTGACAAGGAATGACACTGTCAGTCCATTACCAATCTTTGGATTATTATTTTAGTTCCAAAACTTTACCCATACCCTACTTTGAGTCACTACTTAAACCATAACTATATCTCATCATTTTACCATTGACTGACAATAATGGTCAGATGTAGCAAGATGGTCAGATGTAACTAATATTGAGCTTGTTTTGAATTGATGAAGAAAAGTATTTCTTATCACCATCTGTTCTGCGATAACAGATATAAAATGTTCACAATAATACCATCCTATCTTCTATCACTAATTGTTCCTCAGAATATTAACAATGTTTATAAAAGAAAATACATTTTACACAAAGTATTACCTGGCAGTAAGCATAGTTTCCAAGAGCTTTATGAGCTTCATCAATAACCAGACACTTTATTTCAGCCGCAGGACATGCTCCTCTAGAAAGATCATTTACCATGACTTGAGGTGTAAGGAAAAGGACTCTCTTATTGCTCCATATTTCCTTCCTGGTGATAGCTTGAGTAGATCCTGTAAATAAAAGTGACATCCTACAATCTAAACTTCATACTGCTATCTGTAAATAAATAAGGTCCTATTTTCAGAATGCATCCCACAATGCATTCTGCTTTTAAGAGTAATTTGACAAATCATCAGAATGCTACATTTTAAAGCTTTGTTGGGGTCCAAATCAAAGCTGTCTCTGAAGACCACAACTAAACTGACTCTATACAGAATTCCTACAAAATACTATATTTGAATAGGAGCAAATTCTTTTTCTGGGAAATTATCGGGACGAATTTGAGAAAGCCTCATGTTCACTTATTGATAAAGTACACATATATAATCGTTTCAAAATGCTCTGACAAACTATGGAGAGCCTCTGAAGTTTTAAAAAAATAACCCTATTTAGGCCTGGATTGCTACAGGCAGCATACACTCTAAGGAAGAGGTCGTAAGCATATATATAGCTACATGTGGATTACTCCACTTGGGTCAGGAACTCAACTTCTACCTAAACACCAGCTTTCTCCTGAGTACACAGTCATTAATTTCAAATTAGCCCATTCTTCCTAAAATACCTGTCATTTCGGCCATGTGGGTCTTCGGGATACCCATTACCCTGTAGCAAGCCTCAATCTGCTGTGTCACCAAAGGTTTCGTGGGTGCCATGAAGACCACCTTGCCGGAAGGGAACCAACGGTAGAAATTATACATGACCACCGCGGCAATAAAGGTCTTTCCCAGCCCGGTGGGCAGACACACCAGCGTGTTGCAGAACAGGGCGGTCCGGGCGATGCGCAGCTGGTAATCCCGCACTGGGCAATTAGTAGGATAAATCCACAGGGCTCCCGCTGAAGTGCAAAAACCACCATTGTCGAGACCCAGCTGCCGCTCTGCCTCATACACGGCGACCAGCAACACATCATCGTCAGAGTCTGGCTGAGCTTCGGCAGCTTCAGGAGCTGCAGAAAAACGGCGCCTGGCGTTGCCAGGGTGAGGCTGCTCAGTTCCAGAGCTGCAACCCGGAGCCCCCGCGGTTCGGGAAATGCTTGAACCCCACGTCTGGAAAAGCGTTCTCTGCCGTCCGCTCATTACTCCAACAACCACCAAAGGCTTCTCTAAGAAGTCAGCAGCTGCAGCAGCTCAACCGCCACCCATGGCGGTTCCGACCCCCATCTGTTTCTTCGGGGCAAAAAGTAGAACCTGAGGGCGGGACCGCAGCAAGCCCTCCAGCCGAAAATGCCGCCACCGTCTTCCCGCTGAGTACATGATTGGCTGGCTTCCCGGAAACTGGAGGCGCATGCGTATTGTGATGGAGTCACTCTAAACTTGGTCCCCTTTTCCGTTTTTTACAAATTCTAAAATAGAGTTCCGTTTGCCATAAATAGGTTCCCGGCTGTCAAAAGGATAAAAACAAATTCCTTGAGATCCTAGCCAACAAATGTCAGAGCAGCCCTTTCTTGTGTCGCCTGTTGCTCCCCTTAGCCGTGTATTTCAGTAAATCCACCTGTTCCGCTCCCCACTCAGTCTTTGGTGAATCCTTTCACACCCTCCCTCCCTATCCCCTCCCAATCCTACACCCCTTATTCTATGCATGAAGATAAATCTTAAAAAAAAAAAAAAAAAAGATGAAATTCGTTGGAAATTGTGAAAGAAAAAAGGGAGGGGCTTCTTGACAAGCTGCTCCATCATTATATATCTTTATAAATAATCTATAGCCGTAAGCATAGATGTATCTCATGTGTTTGTATTTTGAGGGAGGAGGGGCCAGTTATTTTCATTTGTGTGCTTTATAAGTCATGCAGGGACATGTGTTGATCTGATGCACATGGATTGAGCCAATTCAACCAGTTCATTCGGATCTGAGACAATTTTAGGCTAGAGCTAGGTAGAGACTGGATACCTGTGTTGGAGCCGCTGGAAGAAAGCAGTCAGGCAACGTGGAGACAGAGATTCAAGATTTCATTTGGGCTTCAGAATACCCGCCAGCGGCCCAGAGCAGTTGCAGAAACCAGTTTTTATACACTACAGGCAAGGAAATGAAACTTAGTTTTTACAGAGATAACATTCTTGCAGTGGGCCCTAGGATCATATGATCCGATCATATGACCCATATCCTGGTCCTGTTGAAGATGATAATCAATTTAATCAATTTTACAAGTTTTCTTCCTCTTATAGCAAAGTTATTTGGGGGAATTTCCTATCTCAGCAAGCAGGATACAGAAGCTGAAAGGGCAGTTAGCACAAAATGGCATAAGCTTGGTTCAATACAGGTCCAACATCCCCCCCCCCTTTTTCTTGTTCTCTGAATTCCTTCAGAGACTCTCTTCTTCAGTACTTAAGGGAGAGTAGTTAGAGCATAGCATTAAGATATTAACCTCACCAACTTGATGCCACATATATTTAAAGAAGGCGAGAAAGGAGGGAAGGCCCGACAGTAAGGGTCAGAAGGAGCATAGTGAGTGGTCCTGCCAAGGCAAAGAGCAGGGAAGCTGGCCAGGGGGACCAGGAGAACAATCCCTGATGCCAGTTTTCATTTGACCATTTAAACTGGTCATAATCCTTCAGATTTTTTGTGTACTAGGCTTATTGTGTCTCTGATAAGTCCAGAGTTGTTGGCATAAAAGCAACATGCCTCACTCAGAGCTACACATAACCTAGCTTGCTTCAGAAAAAGTAAATCTAGGCTTCTATGGTTTTGGAGTACTACTTCCATCAGGGAGTCAACTTGGCATTCTAACTAAGCTGTGGTGGATTCCAAGTGGAACAAGTCCCGCTGGACCAACTTACTCAAAGTTTGGTTAAAATATCCAGCAATTAAGGCACACAGATCCCAATCAAAACAGGGCACTATGGCTGTAGAGTTTTTAGACACCACCCTACCTGTCTCCCAGTTTCTCAGTTCCCACACATTATGATACACATCTAACTGGACTGAGACAACATGAGTATTGTAATGAAAGTCTTAGCTTTAGTGGATCCGTGGAGTGTGGTCCTTTCCTCCATTGCCCTGTGCTCCCACCGGCAGGGTCTTTCTGTAGGCAGGAGTACTGAATCCAAGACTTTACTCCATTCACCTTTATGGCTGTGGGTGTGATCAAAATAACCAGATGCAGGCCCTTCCACCATGTTTCCAGTGTTTGGGAGTCACGTCTGCGGATCCTCTTTTCTCTGCTCAGCTACACCCTCCTCCTGGCTGGGGCTGGGAGCCTGGAACTTCACCCTGTTACAATCCCCCCCCTTTTGATTTTCATACCACCACATCTATGGTGGCTCAGATTTTTAGGGTGCAGTTAGTCACCAACATTGTCCATGAATGTCTAATATGACAGGCATAACTGGAAAACAGTCCATTAGCACATGAGAAAAACAAACAAACTTCTGGTGTATAACAAATCACAGGAACAAACAAAAAAATCCTTAAAAATTGTTTTTTTTTAAAAGTTCTCTCAACCTTGATCCCAACTTTATCCAACTATGCACAAGTCATTTAGAAATGCAAGCTACCTTTTAACCATTTTTCTATTTCTGCATAAAATCACAGGGCAGAATAATCAAGTAGCAATTTGTTGTTATTATTGGCCTCGTTGGAGTACTCCATGCAGGTTCAGAATGAATCATCGGTTTCCAGTCCACGCAGGCTTCAGGAGCAACATTGGTCTCAGCAGACTCAGTCTGGAGTCCCTCTTCTTGAGATTACCAGGACTTTTTATTTATCTGGGTCGTCTAGGCTTGCCAATGGAGGCAAACTTCCTCACCTTCTTTGGAGATCTCTGGAACCTAAAACAAAGCAGCAAGTTCTCCTCTTCTTGGTTCAGTTCTATTTGAAGTTCCTGGAGAATGCCAAGCAAAGCCACTGAAACACATTTCCAATTTCTTTAGTTTAAGGGGACAAAATTCCCTATTGAAGTTATGTGAAAATAGACTCATGAGGGGCCCTCCCTGGTGGCACAGCGGGTTAAAGCACAGCACTGAGAAGCTAGGGTCACTTTCACATGAGTTCAATCCCCGCCTGCCCTGGAGGTGACCCACATGGCATGGCAGACCTATCCTGAACCCCCACTACTCCCCTCAGCAGTGTACTTCATTGATCTGCCTGTACTGCTCCTCTCTGTCTCTGGTGAATCCTCTCACAGCCCCTGCTCCTCTGGCCTGTACCCCAGTTCTGTATGTACAAATAAATAAATCTTAAAAAAAAATAGACTCATGAGTAATAAATATTACTACCACAATTTTATACTGTGTTGGTATCAAGGGGAGAGAAAAATGGAAACACAAGTTCGTTCTCCTGAAGAAAAAGTATGCACTATTACTGCAGATTCTAGTTATTCAAAACAAGAAAACTTTTTTTAATCAAATGGGGAAAAAAATACCAGTATTATCTCAAACAAAAGCTTAGTAAAAATCAGTCTGTTCAGTTCTTTGTAGAAAAATTTTTACTGTCAAAATTTCCATCAATTGGAATCAGTTGAGGTCTTTTTTTGTAAACAGTTTTTTTTTTTTTTCCAGAAGCAATTTCTGCAAATACCCAACCACTGAATATAGTATTTCAGGACAATAATCAAAATTTACAGAACACATGGTATCAAAAGATTTTTTATGCACTTTTCAGAAAATCAGTGTTAACACTTATGTTTATGCCATGTTTTACCTTTTCCCAAGTGACAATGCTTCCTTTACAGTATATAAAGGAAAGGAAATAGCTAAACCAAAAAGGCCAAACTAGCTAAACCAAAAAGGCCAAAATTGATATAAATGCCTTTCCTAGGAGGAAAGGGAAAAATTTTGTGGAGTGTCTCTGGAGTTCTACTGAGGTCCCACAAAATTTCTTTTGATGACTTAAATGACAGACTACCAAATTTTACTTCAAAACCTAAGACTCTGGAAATAGGAAGAAAAAGTTTTATTAACTACAAATGGCTTTTACTAATTATCCTTGAGAGAAAGCTATAAAGTGACTTGTCATTACTGTAGATGCCCTCTGTGAGTAACAGAAAAACAAACTTACAGATTTTAAAAAGAATTACCCAGTATGATCAAGACTAATGAGTACATCTAATTGTTGATAAGACTTGGTTATGTTGATAGTATCAGATTTTTAGTGAACAAAACCTAAGTATAAAAGTACAAGATTACACTACTGATAATACACTACTGATATAAGCACATGGAAATTTTAAATACTTTTCTTTGACCATTAACACTTGTTATAAAACTTCAGCTTTGGCCCTCCCTTGGTGGCGCAGTGGGTTAAAGCACAGCACTTCTGCATGAGTTTGATTCCCACCTGCCCTG